CCCCCTGTCCCTCAGAGCCAGATATCTACTGAACCACTCCATCTGAATCAACATGACCTTGTCACAGTCACACTCTGGGCCTATATTCATTAAGCGTCTCAGAGTAAGTGCTGATCCACGTCCAGATACTTATGATCTAAAGGACAAAACTGATCCCAGCAGCACTCCTGCTCTAAGACACTTTGAGAATACAGGTATTGTTCCCCTACAAATTCTGCCTTTTAAAAAAACCAGACTGTTGAAATTTAGAGCGTAATTCTGATACTCCCTCTTTCTTCCTCAAGTGGTGATAGAGGGATGTCTGTTGTCATGGAGATGCAGGGGGATTCTGTTTCTGTACCATCAGCAGGAAGTTAACCTCTAGACAGGAAACAGACACACACACACACACACACACACACACACAAAACACCAGTAATGGCTAGCGTTTAAATAAATCCAATTGTATTTGTCACATGCTTCGTAAACACCAGGTGTATACTAATGGTAACATGCTTACCTATGGGCCCTTCCCAACAATGCAGAGAGAAAGTAAATATAGAAATAATAGAAAAGTAATAACACGTAATAATAAAAGTTATAATAAATACACAATGAGTAATGAAAACTTGGCTATATACATGGTGTACCAGTACCTAGTCGATGTGCAGGAGTATGAGGTAATTGAGGTAGATATGTACATATAACTAGGAATAAAGTGACTAGGCAACAGGATAAATAATAAACAGTAGCAGCAGCGTTTGTGATGAGTCAAAAAAAGTTAGTGCAAAAAGGGTCAATGCAGAGAGTCCGGGTAGCTATTTGGTTAACTATTTAACTAACTATTTAGCAGTCTTATGGCTTGGTGGTAGAAGCTGTTCAGGATCCTGTTGGTTCCAGACTTGATGCATCGGTACTGCTTGTCATGTGGTAGCAGAGAGAACAGTCTATGACTTGGGTGGCTGGAGTATTCTACAATTTTTTGGGTCTTCCTCTGACACCACCTGGTATAGAGGTCCTGGATGGCAGAGAGCTCTGCCCCAGTGATGTACTGGGCCTTACACATTACCCTCTACAGCGCCTTGCGGTCAGATGCCAAGCAGTTGCCATACCAAGCGGTGATGCAGCTGTAGAACTTTTTGAGGATCTGAGGGCCCATGCCAAATCTTTTCAGCCTCCTGAGGGGGAAGAGGTGTTGTCTTGCCCTCTTCACGACTCTGTTGGTGTGTGTGGACCATGATAGATCCTTAGTGATGTGGACACCGAGGAACTTGAAGCTCTCAACCTTTGTCTTGCTGACATTAAGGGAGACGGTGTTCGTACAGGAGGGGAGTAAGCACGCACCCCTGTGGGGCCCCTGTGTTGAGGGTCAGCGTGGCGGATGTGTTGTTGCCTATCCTAACCACCTGGGGGTGGCCCGTCAGGAAGTCCAGGATCCAGTTGCAGAGGGAGGTGTTCAGTCCCAGGGTCCTTTAGTTTAGTGATGAGCTTGGAAGGCACTATGGTGTTGAACACTGAGCTGTAGTCAATGAACAGCATTCTCATATAGGTGTTCCTCTTGTCCAGGTGGGAGAGGGCAGTGTGGAGTGCAATAGAGATTGCATCATCTGTGGATCTGTTGAGGTGGTATGCGAATTGGAGTGGGTCCAGGGTGTCTGGGATGATGTTGTTGATGTGAGCCATGACCAGCATTTCAAAGCATTTCATGGCTACAGATGTGAGTGCTACGGGGCGATAGTCATTTAGAACGGTTACCTGGCGTTCTTGGGCAGAGGGACTGTGGTGGTCTGCTTGAAACATTTACGTATTACAGACTGGGTCAGGGAGAGGTTGAAAATGTCAGTGGAGACACTTGCCAGCTGGTCAGCGCATGCTCTGAGTACGCGTCCTGGTAATTTATCCTGGCCCTGCAGCCTTGTAAATGTTAACCTGTTTAAAGGTCTTACTCACATCAGCTACAGAGAGCGTGATCACACAGTCGTCCGGAACATCTGGTGCTCTCATGCGCGGTTCAGTGTTGCTTGCCTCGAAGCGAGCATGGAAGGCATTTAGCTCATCTGGTAGGCTCGCGTCACTGGGAAGCTCGCGGCTGGGTTTCCCTTTGTAATCCGTAATGGTTTGCAAGCCCTGCCACATCTGACGAGCATCAGAGCCGGCGTAGTAGGAATAGATCTTAGTCCTGTATGACGCTTTGCCTGTTTGATGGCTCGTCGGAGGTCGTAGCGGGATTTCTTATAAGGGTCCGGATTAGTGTCCAGCTCCTTGAAAGCGGCAGCTCTAGCCTTTAGCTCAGTGCGGATGTTGCCTGTAATCCATGGCTACTGGTTGGGATATGTACGTACGGTCACTGTGGGGGATGAAGTCGTCGATGCACTTATTAATGAAGCCGGTGACTGATGTGGTAAATTCCTCAATACCATCGGATAAATCCCGGAACATATTACAGTCTGTGCTAGTGAAACATACAGTTTACATACAGTATACAGTTTACATACTGTTTATATATTTTGAGTATCTTCATGGTTGTTGTGTAGGATTTTATGTTTATATCTATTGGAACGCTGTATCTTTGTGGGTGTGGGTGTGTTTGTGTGAGGTAGTGGAAACCCTCTGAGGAATGATGTGTGTGTTCCTGTGCAGATGTGGTTGCCAGGGGAGCAAGGACAGGACATGCTCTAATCACCACGGTGACCAGCAGCTGTAGGCTCTTCCTGGGCAGACCTTCCTCCTGTGTGTGTGTGTGTTTAGACTCCTATGCGTTCCTCTTTCTGTCCATTTTCGAACTCAGTGGCCTGTCAATGCTTGGGTATGTGTTTCTCTCCGTCGTCGTTTGTGGATGTGTGTGTGTGATATGAGGACAATGCTGAAGATGCTTTTGTCTTGGATCAGACACAACCATATACGGGTAGGGCTCTGGCAACACACACACGCGCACACACAAACGGTTAGCGTTTGCTTTCTCATACTGACTGTGTTAGTTTCCCAAGCAATCACATTCAGTGTCTCTTTCTTTGGGTGAGGGCAAACATTCTTATTCTCTGTTAAGACAAAGGCATGTGTGTGTGTACTTGTGTGTGTGATATAATTACGAGGCTTGCTCTGACCTAAGAAGTGCCGCTGGCAACAGATGAAGCGGTGAGATTTCTCTAACGAGAGAGAGAGGGAGAGAGAGAGTGAGAGCGAGGAGAGAGAGAGAATAGTAATACCAGTGTAATTTCTCTAACGAGAGAGAGAGAGAGCGCGAGAGAGAGAGAGCGCGAGAGAGAGAGAGAGAGCGCGAGAGAGAGAGAGAGAGAGAGAGAGAGAGAGAGAGAGGAGAGAGAGAGAGAGAGGAGAGAGAGAGAGAGAGAGAGAGAGAGAGAGAGAGAGAGAGAGAGAGAGAGAGAGAGAGAGAGAGAGAGAGAATAGTAATACCAGTGTAATTTCTCTAACGAGAGAGAGAGAGAGATCAGAGATCAGACTAAGAACAATAGAGCCAGTGTAGATCACTGCACTGTGGGGTTCCCCCTGTTCTCTATATCTCTCTCTGTCTCTCTCTCTCTCCCTTTGTCTCGCTCAGTCTATTTCTTTATCATACTCTCTCTGTTTTTTCTCTCTCTCCGACCTGCTGTATAACGTGTGTTAGTTCTGTGTTCCATTTCTTGCACAGATCTGTGAATAGTAGTGGATAGGTGTAATGAACATGGTGGAGGCTCCACTCAGTCAGAATGGAATGGGGCCGAGCCGGCAGAGATTGAATTCTAATTCAGATAAATTAAGTTTCTGAGTAAATTATGCTGACCTGTCCTCTCTCTGCTCCTCATCATCAATACTTAATAATCTCTCTCGCCCTCTCTCGCTGCCTTTCTGATTGGTTGTTAGTTAACCTATCGCTGTCTGTAGAGCACCCCATGAACAGTTACCTAAGGACAGTGTGTGTGTTATCTGAGACGGTGTCCAAAGACCTAGCCTAGCGGATGTGTTATGTGCTGCTAACCTAGGCCCAAGTATGCACATCAATCAGCCCTCTGTGTGTGTGTGTGTGTGTGTGTGTGCGTGTGCGCGTGTCCTCGCTTGTATGTGCACTGTTCATTTGGTTGCATAAGTGGTTTAGGGACACAGATTGCCTGGAATTCCTCTCTCACAATCCATGGAAGCCACTGCCACACAGTGACTTAGAGCCTAATACACACATGCACGTATACACACACACACACACACACACACACACACACACACACACAGACACACACACAGACACACAGACACACACATACAGACACACACACAGACACACACACACAGACACACAGACACACACACACACACACACAGACACACAGACACACAGACACAGACACACACACAGACACACATCCATGGAGGCTTAATACAGAAAGACCAGCTCCAGAGCTGTTGATGCTCTAGTACTATTGTAGTACTACTTTTATCAGTCTATTCTTCTACACACTGTATTCACTACAGTAATGTATTTAATATCTTCACTAGTCTCACTGTTCAAGTGAAGAAAGTGTGGTTTAGAACTAGTAGGTTAGACTGTCTCAGACTGAGCTGTTTAGTTGTAGAGGTCTGTCCCCCCAGAGGAACCACAGGACTCATGGTTCTTGTTGTGCAGGGACAATTAGTGAGGTAGCACTCATGGGGAAGGTGATAGGCCTCGCACAACAGCTGTCTGTAATCCCAGCTACGCTCTCATATTCTGAGACACGTGTGTGCATTCTTTGCAGTACGTGGGAGTCAGGCATTGGTCCTCGTGTACAGTATGGTGTGTGTGTGTGTTTGGTGGGGATCTCCAGATCACATGATGGAAGCTAAGGGTAGGAGGTTAAGGAGGGGTTTAGGGGGGATCCCAGTTTGGATCTCTGGTGTTCCCCCTGACTGAGTCTCACACACACACACACCTCCCTCACACACACACACTCCAACATGCTCCCTCTTACTTTTCCACCCACTCTACCTCTCTGTCTCTCACACACACACACATCCAGTGCATAGCTATCCGAAGGACAGTGTGTGGTTAGGTATGACTGAGGCCAAAGCAGTGCGTTTGTCTCTGGGTGTTCTGACTAGCAGACTCAAGGCCCTAGGATGTCTACTGATCCAAAACTTTACTGGAGACCTTACCAGGAACTGCACTGGAAACTCTACCGAGAAGGAGCGGGACTGGGGTCTGTTTACTAGGGCAGGATGGGGGTGTTCCGAACCCCAGGGGGCTGTAAGTACAGGACTGTGTGTGTGGGTACAGCAACTCTATGCTGGAGTGTGTGTGTCGGGTTACCACTGTCTGTCCTAAAGCTGACAAGGACTAAAACTTGCCTCGGTACTATGTGTGTGTTTGTGTATGGATGTTGATTATTCCATGGAAGATAGAGAACATTTCATCTAAAATTGTTCTCTTGTGTTTGATGCTGCTGTTCTCCGTGTAGTTCTTTCTCTCTGATCTTGTCTTCAGGCTTCTTTTCCTTACAATGATGCTTGATTAGATCTGATCACTTAATTAGTTGAATTAATGTAATTAAATGAATTGGCCCATGCAGCCACAGTGGGATTGAGTTATAGTGATCTGGGGAGGCTGGAATAGACTCTCTTTAGTTTAACCACACACACACACACACACACACACACACACACACACACACACACACACACACACACACACGCATACACTATTTGTGGTGGTATTAAACAGTAATGATGTGGTTGTAGAAGAGAAGAGGGGTTGTGTGTGTGCTTGTGTGTGTGTGTGTGTGTGTGTGTGTGTGTGTGTGTGTGTGTGTGTGTGTGTGTGTGCGTGCCTGTGTATGTTGAGCGCTGGTGTTGCTTACCCAGAGGCGGTGCTCCTAGTGGCTGGTGATTTTAATGCAGAAAAACTAAAATCCGTCTTATCACCTGTGCAACTAGAGGCGAAAAAACTCTAGATCACCGTTACTCCCACACAGAGACGCATACAAAGCCTATAGGGAGGAGGTCAGAGACCTGGCAGTGTGATGCCAGGACAACAACCTCTCCCTCAATGTCAGCAAGACAAAGGAGCTAATCGTGGACTATAGGAAGCAGAGGGCCGAGCACGCCCCCATTCACATCGATGGGGCTGTAGTGGAGTGGGTCGTGAGCTTCAAGTTCCTCTGTGTCCACATCACTAAGGACCTATCATGGTCTAAACACACCAACATAGTCGTGAAGAGGGCAAGGCCAACGCCTCTTCCCCCTCAGGAGGCTGAAAAGATTTGGCATGGGCCCTCAGATCCTCAAAACGTTCTACAGCTGCACCATTGGAGCATCTTGACTGGCTGCATCACCACTTGGAATGGCAACTGCTTGGTATCAGACTGTAAGGCACTACAAAGGATAGTGCGTACTGCCCAGTAAATCTCTGGGGCCGAGCGCCCTGCCATCCAGGACCACTATACCAGGCGGTGCCAGCGAAAGGCCCTAAAAGTTGTCAAAGACTCCAGCCACCCAAGTCATAGACTGTTCTCTCTGCTACCGCACAGCAAGCGGTACCGGATTGCCAAGTCTGGGACCAAAAGGCTCCTGAACAGATTCTACCCCCAAGCCATAAGACTGCTGAACAGTTATTCAAGTGGCTACCCGGACTATTTGCATTAACCCCCTTTTTTGTTGTTGCGCTGACTCTCTTGCACTGGCTCTATGCACTCACTGAACTCTACCCACACACTCTCACACACACTGAAGCTAAGCAGGGTTGGTCCTGGTCGGTCCCTGGATGGGAGACCAGATGCTGCTGGAAGTGGTGTTGGAGGGCCAGTAGGAGGCACTCTTTCCTCTGGTCCCCAGGGCAGTGATTGGGGACATTGCCATGTGTAGGGTGCCATCTTTCGGATGGGACGTTAAACGGGTGTCCTGACTCTCTGTGGTCACTAAAGATCCCATGGCATTTATCGTAAGAGTAGGGGTGTTAACCCCGGTGTCCTGGCTAAATTCTCAATCTGGCCCTCATACCATCATGGCCACCTAATCATCCCCAGCTTCCAAGTGGCTCATTCATCCTCCCTCCTCTACCCTGTAACTATTCCCCAGGTCCTTGCTGTAAATGAGAATATGTTCTCAGTCAACTTACGTGTAAAATAAGGGTAAAAAAATATATAAAAATACAAAAATGTAAAAACACTACATACAGTGGGGGAAAAAAGTATTTAGTCAGCCACCAATTGTGCAAGTTCTCCCACTTAAAAAGATGAGAGAGGCCTGTAATTTTCATCATAGGTACACGTCAACTATGACAGACAAAATGAGTAAATAAAATCTAGAAAATCATATTGTAGGATTTTTTATGAATTTATTTGCTAATTATGGTGGAAAATAAGTATTTGGTCAATTACAAAAGTTTCTCAATACTTTGTTATATACCCTTTGTTGGCAATGACACAGGTCAAACGTTTTCTGTAAGTCTTCACAAGGTTTTCACACACTGTTGCTGGTATTTTGGCCCATTCCTCCATGCAGATCTCCTCTAGAGCAGTGATGTTTTGGGGCTGTCGCTGGGCAACACGGACTTTCAACTCCCTCCAAAGATTTTCTATGGGGTTGAGATCTGGAGACTGGCTAGGCCACTCCAGGACCTTGAAATGCTTCTTACGAAGCCACTCCTTCGTTGCCCGGGCGGTGTGTTTGGGATCATTGTCATGCTGAAAGACCCAGCCACATTTCATCTTCAATGCCCTTGCTGATGGAAGGAGGTTTTCACTCAAAATCTCACGATACATGGCCCCATTCATTCTTTCCTTTACACGGATCAGTCGTCCTGGTCCCTTTGCAGAAAAACAGCCCCAAAGCATGATGTTTCCACCCCCATGCTTCACAGTAGGTATGGTGTTCTTTGGATGCAACTCAGCATTCTTTGTCTTCCAAACACGACGAGTTGAGTTTTTACCAAAAAGTAATATTTTGGTTTCATCTCAGCATATGACATTCTCCCAATCCTCTTCTGGATCATCCAAATGCACAAATGACATGTACTGGCTTAAGCAGGGGGACACGTCTGGCACTGCAGGATTTGAGTCCCTGGTGGCGTAGTGTGTTACTGATGATAGGCTTTTGTTACTTTGGTCCCAGCTCTCTGCAGGTCATTCACTAGGTCCCCCCGTGTGGTTCTGGGATTTTTGCTCACCGTTCTTGTGATCATTTTGACCCCACGGGGTGAGTTCTTGCGTGGAGCCCCAGATCGAGGGAGATTATCAGTGGTCTTGTATGTCTTCCATTTCCTAATAATTGCTCCCACAGTTGATTTCTTCAAACCAAGCTGCTTACCTATTGCAGATTCAGTCTTCCCAGCCTGGTGCATGTCTACAATTTTGTTTCTGGTGTCCTTTGACAGCTCTTTGGTCTTGGCCATAGTGGAGTTTGGAGTGTGACTGTTTGAGGTTGTGGACAGGTGTCTTTTATACTGATAACAAGTTCAAACAGGTGCCATTAATACAGGTAACGAGTGGAGGACAGAGGAGCCTCTTAAAGAATAAGTTACAGGTCTGTGAGAGCCATAAATATTGCATCTTTTTAAGTGGGAGAACTTGCACAATTGGTGGCTGACTAAATACTTTTTTTCCCCAAAGTACTGTTGACACACTTTCACACTCTTCACATACGCTGCTGCTACTCTGTTTGTTATCTATTCTGATTGCCAAGTCACTTTTTACCCCTACCTACATGTATATATTACCTCAACTACCTCTAACCCCTGCACATTGACTCGGTACCAGTACTCCTTGTATATAGTCTCGTTATTGTTATTTTATTGTGTTACTATTTCCTTTTTTTATTTAGTAAATGTTTCTTTGTTTTTAACTCTGCATTGTTGGGAAAAGGCTGGTAAGTAAGCATTTCACGGTAAAGTCTACACCTGTTGTTTTCGGTGCGCGTGACAAATACAATTTGATTTGATTATAGCGGTACATTTTTTAATCCTGTGATTAAGAGGTGCTACATGAGCATCCTGTCGCCTCTCTCTGATCCTCCATCTGCGGTGTGATTCACACACACTCACACACACACACACACACACACACACACACAAACACAAACACACACACGCACACTTCAAACAGACGGAAATATCTCAACATAGTGTGTGTCCAGATCTCCGTGTGTCCAACTGAAACTCCCCCTACTACAGATCCAGGCGGCACTGATACTCATAACATAAACATAGCTACACTAGCATGATATATATCTATGTTCAGTATATGACAAGGTCAATACAGAAGTCCATAAGGGTAATATAATGTACATACTATATAAAACATTAGGAACACCTGCTCTTTCCATGGCATAGATTGACCAGGTGAAATCTATGATCCCATATTGATGTCACTTGTTAAATCCACTTCAATCAGTGTAGATGAAGGGGAGGAGACAGGTTAAAGAAGATTTTTAAGCCTTGAGACAATTGAGACATAGATTGGGTATCTGTGCTATTCAGAGGGTGAGGGCTTTCGACACTTTGTAGAGTCCATGCCCCGACGAATTGAGGCTGTTCTGAGGGCAAAAGGCGGTGCAACTCAATATTAGGAAGATGTTCTTAATGTATTGTACACTCAGTGTATGCTATAATGTACATAACGTATGTTGAAAATGTTCATATGAATGTTATATACACTACCAGTCAAAAGTCTGGACACACCTACTCATTCCAGGGTTTTTCTTTATTTGTAGTATTTTGTACATTGTAGAATAATAGTCAAGACATCAAAACTATGAAATAACACATATGGAATCATGTAGTAAACATAAAAGTGTTAAACAAATCAAAATATATTTGAGATTCTTCAATAGCCACCCTTGATGACAGCTTTGCACACTCTTGGCATTCTCTCAACCAGCTTCACCTGGAATGCTTTTCCAACAGTCTTGAAGGAGTTCCCACATATGCTGAGCACTTGTTGGCTGCTTTTCCTTCACTCTGCGGTCCAACTCATCCCAAACCAACTCAATTGGGTTGAGGTCAGGGGATTGTGGAGGCCAGGTCATCTGATGCAGCACTCCATCACTCTCCTTCTTGGTAAAATAGCCCTTACTCAGCCTGGAAGTGTGTTGGGTCATTGTCCTGTTGAAAAACAAATGATAGTCCCACTAATCCCAAACCAGATGGGATGGCGTATCGCTGTAGAATGCTGTGGTAGTCATGCTGGTTAAGTGTGCCTTGAACTCTAAATAAATCACAGACAGTGTCAACAGCAAAGCACCCCCACACCATAACACCTCCTCCTCCATGCTTTACGGTGGGAAATACACATGCGGAGATCATCCGTTCACCCACACCGCGTCTTACAAAGATACGGTGGTTGGAACCAGAAATCTCCAATTTGGACTCTAGACCAAAGGACAAATTTCCACTTCTCTAATATCAATTTCTCGTGTTTCTTGCCCCAAGCAGGTCTCTTCTTCTTATTGGTGTCCTTTAGTAGTGGTTTCTTTGCAGCAATTCGACCATGTTACTTGAACTCTGTGAAGCATTTATTTGGGCTGCAATGTCTGAGGCTACTAACTCTAATGAACTTATCCTCTGCAGCAGAGGTAACTCTGGGTCTTCCATTCCTGTGGTGGTCCTCATGAGAGCCAGTTTCATCATAGCGCTTGATGGTTTTTGCGACTGCACTTGAAGAAACTTTCAAAGTTCTTGACATTTTCCATGTTGACTGACCTTCATGTCTTAAAGTAATGATGGACTGTCATTTCTCTTAGCTTTTTTTAGCTGTTCTTGCCATAATATGGACTTGGTCTTTTACCAAATAGGGCTATCTTCTGTATACCCCCCTAACTTGTCACAACACAACTGATTGGCTGAAACGCATTAAGAAGGAAATAAATTCCACAAATTAACTTTTAAGAAGGCACACCTGTTAATTGAAATGCCTTCGAGGTGACTACCTCATGAATCTGGTTGAGAGAATGCCAAGAGTGTGCAAAGCTGTCATCAAGGCAAAGGGTGGCTATTTGAAGAATCTCAAATATAAAATATATTTTGATTTGTTTAACACTTTTTTGGTTACTACATGATTCCATATGTGTTATTTCATAGCTTTGATGTATTCACTATTATTCTACAATGTAGAAAATAGTACAAATAAAGAAAAACCTTGAATGAGTAGGTGTGTCCAAACTTTTGACTGGTACTGTATGCTCATATGAGTGTTTTTTGGCCGTATAAGAGCTTCATCCTGTTAGTGAGGTCTGGAGATGTGTACACATTTGCATACAGAGGTGTGAAATTCCCTACTTGGGCTTTGATGACATGAGCTGTGAAACAGGAGGGGGTGAAGTGGGGGGGGGGGGGGGGGGGGGGGGGGGGGGAGGGATAGGTGGAGAGTGATATCACATCTCTTTCCTTCTCGCTCTCTCTCTCTCTCTCTCTCTCTCTCTCTCTCTCTCAGGCTTTCAGGGAGAGGTGGAGAGAAGGACAGGGCAAAACCCTGAGAGAGGTGAAGGGGCGCTAGAATGAGTGATGGGGAGGGAGAGGAGAGACAGTGAAAGATACACGCACACGCACACGCACACACACACAGTGAGAAGTCATTAGTCACTGGGAGGTAGCAGGAGGATTGGGGGTGGCACCATGGCAACTGCTGGGTTAGCTGTCCATCGTTGGTTTACTGTGTGTCTAAGTTTAATTTGGAGTGTATTGTGTGTGTATAACATACAGTATGTGTGTGTATCTATCCAACAGGAGGAGGAGAGTGTCAATGAGATCAACATCACCAACCATACCAAGGAGGGGTCAGAGAAGGGTGACCCTCGACAGTTCGAGCTCCTCAAGGTCCTAGGACAAGGCTCCTTCGGAAAGGTGTGTGTGTCTGCCTGTGTGTGTGTGTGTGTGTGTGTCTGTGTGTCGTCAGCGTTTGATTATCATCTTCCACTGATGTCTCGATTAGTTATCCTAATGACAGAGCATTGCTATAGCAACCACATGGTAAGGGCCCTTCACACCTTGTCATCTTTATGAATTTAACGATTATGTGTGTGTCTGTGTGTGTGTGTTCATGTGTCATTCATCTTTTACCTTTTTTCCCCAGTGCTGATTGCCATGCACACAAAAACACAGTAGAATAAATGTTTTCTTCTATCTGTGTGTGTGTGCGTGCGTGCGTGCGTGCAGGTGTTCCTGGTCAAGAAGACTACAGGTCCAGATACAGGACAGCTCTACGCCATGAAGGTTCTGAAGAAAGCCACACTGAAAGGTAGGGGATGGAGAGAGAGGGAGGTAGAGAGAGAGGGATGTAGAGAGAGAGGGAGGTAGAGAGAGAGGGAGGTAGAGAGAGAGGCGGGAGAGAAAGATAAATAAATGAGGGATGGAGAGGTAGATGGAGGGAGGGGAGGGAGGTAGACGGAAATGGAGAGAATGAGGGATAAGGGAGGGAGGGAGAGTTGTATGGCGGGAGGGGGGGTAGAGTGACAGAGAGGGGGAGAGAAAGAAAGATGGAGAAGGGGGGGGTGCGTTGGACAGAGAGAGGGGAGGTAGAGTGACAGAGAGGGGGAGAGAAAGAAAGATGGAGAAGGGGGGGTGAGTTGGACAGAGAGAGGGGAGGTAGAGTGACAGAGAGGGGGAGAGAAAGAAAGATGGAGAAGGGGGGGTGAGTTGGACAGAGAGAGGGGAGGTAGAGTGACAGAGAGGGGGAGAGAAAGAAAGATGGAGAAGGGGGGGTGAGTTGGACAGAGAGAGGGGAGGTAGAGTGACAGAAAGGGGGAGAGAAAGAAAGATGGAGAAGGGGGGGGTGAGTTGGACAGAGAGAGGGGAGGTAGAGGAGAGGTGTTTTCAGAGCAGAGAAAGTCAACTCTGCTCTTCTGGAATCATGTCAGTGTGACGTACTGTCAGGGCTTCACCGAAGGGTTGGACGTTGGAGTGGTGAAAAGTTCCACATTTCATTTGAAGTTTGAGGTTAGCAGCGCCTCCCCAAAAGTTTAGGTAATCATCACAAACCCCCATGAACCTCTAGGCCTGGGTCTCCCCCTCTATTGAAATACAATGGCCCGTCATCTTGAAACGTGAAAGCCCTGTGTGTGAGAGGACTGCTTTATCTCAGAGAGAACACCATCACCATCTGTTGGCTACAGACCGTACACACACCACATAGTCACTTACAGTGGAGGGATTCTTCTCTCTCTCTCTCTCCATTCCTCTTCCTCCTCTTTTCTTGTTCTGTTTTTTCATTTCCCTCCTTTATTCAATTACTCATCCATCTGGACAAATGACTTCCATGCCAAGAGGGAGATAGAGAGGGAGGGATAGATCGAGGGAAAGAGAGGGAGAGGGATAGGTAGAGGGGAAAGAGATGAGGTGAGTTGTTTGTTCCTAGAAGGACGTATGCTCTGTATGTATGTTTAATTAGTTTGTGTGTGTGTGTGTTGCAGTGCGTGACAGGGTGAGGACTAAGATGGAGCGAGACATTCTGGTGGAGGTCAACCATCCCTTCATCGTTAAACTGCACTATGGTGAGTTAGCCAATCACAGCTTAGTACTACAGTGAGGTAGCCAATCACAACATAAGTCCTCTGGTAACCAATCAGATGTCTCTCCTCAGCATTCCAAACAGAAGGGAAACTCTACCTCATCCTGGACTTCCTACGAGGAGGAGACCTCTTCACACGACTGTCTAAAGAGGTGAAGGCGTGTGTGTGTCTCACCCTCCTCTCTGTGTCTAGAGGTGTGTGTGTGTGTGTGTGTGTGTCTCACCCTCCTCTCTGTGTCTAGAGGTGTGTGTGTGTGTGTGTGTGTGTCTCACCCTCCTCTGTGTGTAGGTGTGTGTGTGTTTATGTGTGTGTGTGTTTCACCTGCCTCTGTGTGTCTGTGTCTAGAGGTGTGTGTGTGTGTGTGTGTGTGTGTGTGTGTGTGTGTGTGTGTCTCACCCTCCTCTCTCCTGTGTAGGTGATGTTCACAGAGGAGGATGTGAAGTTCTACCTGGCAGAGTTGGCTCTGGCCCTGGACCACCTCCACAGCCTGGGCATCATCTACAGAGACCTCAAACCAGAGAAGTACATACACACATGTACACACACACAAACACACATACACACTCAGATTGTGTGTGTTGTTTAGTATCTTTGTCTAAAGATCAATTTGTGTCCTTTCAGCATTCTGCTAGACGAGGAGGGACACATCAAGCTGACAGGTGGGCAATATCAGACCTGTGTGTGTGTGTGTACTGTATGGATCATGTGTGTATTCTCACTGCAGACAGTAAGGAGTCATGAGAACAAGGCTTACTGCTCTCTCTGTGTGTTTGTGTGTGTGCGCATAGACTTCGGACTCAGTAAGGAGTCTATAGACCATGAGAACAAGGCCTATTCGTTCTGCGGGACGGTGGAGTACATGGCTCCGGAGGTGGTCAACAGGAGAGGCCACACCACCAGCGCTGATTGGTGGTCCTACGGCGTGCTAATGGTGAGAGGGGCGGGGCCACAAACCTTATATGGTTTATTTACCAGTTCCTTATTTGTGTTGTGTTACAGGTTGTAGTTAGGTTGTTTGTGTGATAAAAAAAAATATATCTTCCTTCTATCCCAGTTTGAGATGCTGACCGGAACGCTACCATTCCAGGGGAAAGACCGCAAGGAGACCATGACCATGATCCTTAAGTGAGTCTCTTTGACAAGGTTGACCATTTGACCATTATTATCTCACTGGAGTAGTGTGTGTGTGTGTGTTCTGTGCCAGCGGTTCCCAACCTTTTCTGTTCCGGGGACCACCAAATCACTGTCAAAAGCTCGAGGACCACCAATGTTATCAATTAATGTAACAGATTAAAGGCTTATTATTAACATTAGAAAAAAAGTAATGTAAAATTGCTTATAATACCGTTAACAATCCCAATTGTTGTTATTTTTGGAAGAAAACAAATATTTATTTTTTAATTGCAGACGGTCCGTGGACCACAGGTTGAAATGCTGAGGCAGCCCAGGGGAAAAGAGTGGGGGATTAATATTAGAGGAGGTATTTGTAGCGCTCAGCAGGAGGGCAGGATGGATGGACAGACTAGAAGAGTGATAAAAGCAGATAATGGAGCTAGCTAAGTGGAATGTTTGACGTTTATGACGGAAAGGGGGAGAGAGATAAGTAGAGTAAGAGAGAGGGAGGGTGGAGGAGGAGAGAGATGGAAGGGTGCAGAAAAGGGAGAGAGATGGAATGGGTGAGAGATATTTGAACACAGAGAATCATGTATCGCTCTCAGTGGAAAATGCTGAGAATGTTTGTCTCTCTCGGCTGCTGAGATCGTTTCTGTAAAACGCTGAGTTAGTTTCCTGTGTGTATTACTGTGAATGGACTTCAGCATTCAATCAGATTGAATACAGGTTGATATATGATGACTGTGTCAATATCCACACTCTAATGTTCTCTATTTTCCCCTCTATCACTGCCTTCTCCTCTTCTGCATTCCTACCTGTCTTTCTTTACCTCCCTCTCTCTCTCTCTGTCCCTCTCCTCAGGGCTAAGTTGGGGATGCCACAGTTTCTGAGTTCCGAAGCCCAGAGTCTCCTGAGGAACCTTTTCAAACGCAACCCTACTAACAGGCTAGGTAACACAATCTGATCTTAGGGCAGGGTTAAGCTTTCCCCCTAATGGTTAAGGTTAGGAGTTAATATGATCCTAGATCTGTGCTGAAGTGTAACTTCTTGTTCTGTTCTCTGTAGGAGCCGGCCCAGACGGAGTGGAAGAGATCAAGAGACACCACTTCTACTGCACCATAGACTGGAACGTGAGTGTGTGATGTGATGTCTCTTCTCACTGCGTTTCAGACGCTGTAGTGTCAGTATAGACTATTTAATGTGTCCTCTATCTCTGTTTGTAGAAACTGTTCCTTAGAGAGCTCTGCCCTCCCTTCAAACCTGCTACGGGACGACCTGACGACACCTTCTATTTCGACCCAGAGTTCACCGCTAAAACACCCAAAGGTACACACACATGCTTGCGCATGCACACACATTCGTCTCTCCATCCATCCATCTGTCAATTACTCATTCATCTGTTGAAGTTCAACCACTTGCTTGTCTTCTGTGTGTGTGTGTGTGTAGATTCCCCAGGGGTTCCACCCAGTGCCAACGCCCACCAGCTGTTCCGAGGATTCAGCTTCGTAGCCATAACAACAGAGGAAGAGGCACAACCACTACAGACTGCTATAGTACAGGTACACACACACACACACACACACACACACACACACACACACACACTAGAGCCCTGCACAAGCATGAAATGTAAGCCCTACCCATGCCCGCGACATTCAGGCCTTACCCTGCCCTTGCCAGATTGCTTCTGCCAAATTTAAGGCCCGTCCCTGCCCGAACCCGAAATCAGAAATAACTTTGTCCGTTAGCTGCTCATCTTTGTCTGTCCCCCGCTCTCTACTTGCGCTGCTCCATGCGCTCTCTGCGTGTGAGTATCGATAGCAACGGCTCCGCTTGGCTACTTTTTGTAACTCTAAATTCTGTCAAAACTCACAGAATATTATTATTTTCTGTGAAATAATATCTCCTGTCGACTCAGACAATGTTCTTGTCTTATATTTTCCGAGGTTGATCTTGTATTTTATGAGGTTGAAGCAATTTGCGACACCATTTTATGATCATAAGATATGACTGCAGAGACACTGAGCAGCAGAGCAGGAGGGAGCAAATCGCTCAGCTTCAAAATGTTGGTGATCAATTTAATCATTCTTGAAAATGATATCCAAGCCTGACCCGTATCCTAGTTATTGATTTTTAAAAAACAGGGCTCAGGTCGGGTAGCAGAGCTCTTACAAACAGACACACGAATACACTCACACACACACACACACACAGTCTTGTTATGTGTAGTTTCACATCTGTGTCGCTCATGTTTACGTAGCAGCTGCACAGAAATGTGTCCCAGTTTTCTGAAGCGTATGAAGTGAAGGAGGATATAGGAGTGGGATCATACTCCGTCTGCAAACGCTGTATACACAAGACCACTGGCATGGAGTACGCAGTCAAGGTGAGACACACACACACACCGCAGAAAGCATTGATATTGCCCATTGAGCATTAGTATTCAGACCCATACATACATAAGTTGGTCTTGGTTTTAACTCCAACACATTGTGTGTGTTCCATCCAGATCATCAGTAAGGCCAAGAGAGATCCAACGGAGGAGGTGGAGATTCTACTGAGATACGGACAACATCCCAACATCATCACACTGAAGGACGTGAGTTTCACACACACACACACACACACACACACACACACACACACACACATATACATACACACACACACACACATATACATACACACAGGTACAGCTATAACCCTGTTGTCTCTGCTGTAGGTGTTTGATGACGGCAGGACAGTGTATCTGGTCACAGAGCTGATGAAGGGAGGAGAGCTGCTGGATAAGATACTGAGGCAGAAGTTCTTCTCAGAGAGGGAGGCTAGCGCTGTCCTATACACCATCACCAAGACTGTTGAATACCTACACGTACAGGGGGTGAGTGTGTTTCATGTGTGTGTGTCGTTCAAGGACTTTGATACATTTCTGAGCCTCAATACTTTATTTTTACAGCATACATAGTTATCTTTCAATGTGTCGATGTGGGTGTGATTGACTGATCGGTTGATCGTTTTCCAGGTGGTGCACAGGGACCTGAAGCCCAGTAATATCCTGTATGTGGATGAGAGTGGAAACGCTGAGTCCATCAGGATCTGTGACTTTGGTTTCGCCAAGCAGCTGAGAGCTGAGAACGGCCTGCTGATGACACCATGCTACACCGCTAACTTTGTAGCTCCAGAGGTACGTACCATGCCACACTCTCTCTCTCTCTTTCAACCTCAGATGTTCTCTATGTGTGTGTACCCTCTCATCCACTAATCATACAGTATGTGTTTTCTAGGTGTTGAAGAAGCAGGGTTATGATGCTGCCTGTGACATATGGAGTCTAGGAGTCCTACTCTACACCATGCTGACAGGGTAAGGCTGTGTGCGTGTTTTATCTGTGTGAATATGGTTATTTGTGTATTCGCAATTGTTTACCCTTCTCTCTCCTCTCCTCTCCTTTCCTCTCCAGGTTCACTCCATTTGCCAATGGTCTAGAGGACACTCCAGAGGAGATCCTGGCTCGGATCGGTAGCGGGAAGTTCTCTCTGACCGGAGGATACTGGAACTCTGTCTCAGCCGAGGCCAAGGTACACACACACACCGAAGCCAAGGGAATGTTACCGACATTCAAACACGATATTCAATGGGTGATAATGTTGTAATGTTTTTGACTTCTGACCTGTAGGAGCTGGTGTCTAAGATGTTACACGTGGACCCCCACCAGCGTTTGACAGCTGGCCAGGTGTTGCGTCATCCCTGGGTCACACAACGCAACCAGCTGCCCAAATTCACACTCACCAGACAGGACGCTCCACACCTGGTCAAGGTAACACACACACTATGTCTCACTATATTTTACTGTCTTTTTCATATACAGGGATGTGTATTGCAATATTTTAATGACTTCAAATAAAGTTTGATTTGATTTGTGCAGGGCGCCATGGCAGCCACCTACTCTGCCCTCAACAGGAACGTCCCACCTGTCCTGGACCCTGTGGGATGTTCCACTCTGGCCCAACGGAGGGGGGTGAAGAAACTCACATCCACTGCCCTCTGACCTTTAACCTTTCACCTCAGACATATAACCTTGCCGGAGCTCTGCTCACAGACGGGCAGACCTGGTCCCTCAGGTGACCTGGACAGAACTCTGATGCACCTGGGACCCCCCTGACCCTGCTCTGTTATGAACTAACCCAGTGGTGTCCACCCCTGGTGCTGGAGAGATACAGAGTATGCAGGCTTTAGAACCTGTTAGGGCTGGAACTACAGCCTGTAGCTCTGTTGGACCAGGGCTAGTGGTGACCACTCTAACATTGTATCGTCTCTCCAGTTTTGCTTTGTACAATCAGCGTTGCCTCTAGATACTCAAGAGACACGTGTCAGGAACATGAATGTGCTGTATATATATATATGTATGTATGTATGTATGTATGTATGTATGTATGTACCTCTGGGAACATTTAAGAGATACCTGCATATGCATTTAAGACCCAATTTATGATGAACTGTATAACTGTAGCTCTGTGTGTAAACCTTAAGTAGCCTCTTTAGTGACCGAGTCATCAGACAGGGACAAAACTAGTGATGTAATCAGAGTGAGAACAAATATAGTTCCACTGACCCCGCCCCCTATATTGAGACAAGCTCCTCCCAGTCAGCCACAACATCCAATCAGAGTGACGGGAATGAGGTCCAATCATGGCTCAGTGGACAGCCTACTCTGTCCACACCAACTCAGCTCTACAGACACTAAGGTAAACCTTATTCTGGACCAGTGTTAAGCGGGGGTTAGCTGGGCAGCGAGTCTGTGGATTGCCCAGTGTGCATGTTGCTGCCTTATACAGTGCCCTCTGTAATTATTGGGACACTGAAGCATTTTTTTATTCTATTGGCTCTATACTCAATAAGTTTGGATTTAAAAAATGACTGAGGTTAAAGTGCAGACTGTCAGCTTTAATTTGAGAGTATGTTCATCCATATCATATGAATCATTTAGAAATTACAGCACTCTTTGTACACAGTCCCCCCATTTTAGGGGACCAAAAGTATTGGGACAAATTCACTTATGTGTGTATTATTAAAGTAGTTAAAAGTGAAGTATTTGGTCCCATATTCATAGCACGCCTACATCAAGCTTGTGACTCTACAAATGTGTTTGCTGTTTGCATTTGCTGTTTGTTTTGGTTGTGTTTCAGATTATTTGGTGCCCAATAGAAATGGTAAATAATGTATTGTCATTTTGGAGTCACTTTTATTGTAAATAAGAATAGAATGCGGATTAATGTGGATGCTACCATGATTATGGATAATTCTGAATGAATTGTGAATAATTATGAGTGAGAAAGTTAGACGCATATATCATGCTAACCTCCCGTTATTGTAATGGTGAGCGGTTAGCATGTCTTGGGGGTACGATATTTGTGCATCTGTAACTTTGTCACTCATCATTATTCATGATTCATTCAGGATTATCCGTAATCAGGGTAGCATCCACATTAAATGTAGAAGTGTTTAGAAACATATTCTATTCTTATTTACAATAAAAGTGACTAAAGAAATGACAAAATACATTCTTTACCATTAATTTCTATTGGGCACAAAATAATCTGAAACGCAACCAAAACAAACAACAAATGCATCCAACAAATTTGTAGAGTCACAAGCTTGATGTAGTCATTGCGTGCTATGAATATGGGACCAAATACTTAACTTTGACTACTTTAATACACAGTGAATTTGTCCCAACACTTTTTATCCCCTAAAATGGGGGGACTTTGTACAAAGAGTGCTGTAATTTCTAAACGGTTCACCCGATTTGAATGAAAACACCCTCAAACGTCATAGTCATTGTTTGATTTCAAATGCAAACTTTTTGAGTACAGAGCCAAAAGAAGAAAAAAATACTTCACTGTCCCAGTAATTACGGAGGGCACTGTATTTCCCGGTTCCGAGGAGCATTTGAAGGCATGTGTGTGGATGAAGCTGTGAAGAGTCTGAGTCTGGCACTGAACTGTCACTAATGTACTAGTAGAGCAACTCAGGTTTCTAGGAGATGAAATACAATGCATTTTATAAGTCCATTAACTAAGTCATGTAAGCACACAGGTGGGGGTGGGAAAGGCCCTTGGATGTAGAAATGTGTGAATAGAACGGACGTGATATTTTATGATGAATTTAACCTGCTGTCTGGAATGACATGACAGTTGTGGAGGTAATCCAGTATGTTACTGTCTGGGCCCGCTGGCACATGCTGACTTCTTGTCAATCCCTTTAAAGCGCTGTCTGTCTAATTGAATGAAGAAAACTGTAGCTATCAATGATTTGTAGCGGTATTATTGAGCGAATAATCTGATCCTGGACCAGTGGTGAACTACCTATTCGATCTCTTCTGGATGTGTTGTAACACACACAGTCTTTCCGTTTCTGATTGACTGTTAACAGTGCTTAGCTGTAAGGTTGTGTGTTTGAGACGTTTGTATGGTGTTGTTTTGAGAGTAGATGAGATGCATTGCTTCTCTCTTTGGGACGGTTTCCTGGACACAGATTGCGCCAAGTCCTAGACTTAAAAGCAATTTCAATGGATAATCTGTCCAGGAATAGGCACAATCTGTGTCCAGGAAACCGGCCTTTTGTGTCCCACTCTCTTTCCACTGTCCCTGTGGAGATAGAGTCCTTCCCTTCCCCCCTGCTGCTACCGTCTCCTCTCTTTGGTGTCACAGTAGGACTTTGTATTGAACATAATAAAAAGACCTTCAGTATATGACTGCGTGTGTTTTTCACTGACCAGTAAATACCATAGAAAGGCTTTTTATTCAGACAGAACATGTCAATAGTGTAGAGAACAAAGCATCAGTAATGGAACCAGTCGACATCAAAAGGCTCCTTGTTGGGCAGGGCTACAGTGGCATTCGCGTTAATCTCTATTGGCCAGAGAAAGTTCACTTGGCTTTCTATTGGCCCAGAGAGAGTTCTCTCTTCTTCCTATTGGACCAGAGAGTGCCTACTGTATACATTTACATTTTTTACATTTTAGTCATTTAGCAGACGCTCTTATCCAGAGCGACTTACAGTTAGTGAGTGCATACATTTTCGTACATCTAGTCCCCCATAGGAATCTAACCCAAAACCCTGGCGTTGCAAGCGCCATGCTCTACCAACTGAGCTACACGGGACTAGATGGGGTGTATTCAGTGAGGTGAAACATTCAGAGTGTTGCAGATAGAAATGTAATAGAGATGACACTAAACCTCATGACAGACAACCCATATGTTTGACAAAGTATTTGTTCTATACAATACATTTCTATGGGTACGTTGCACCCACAAACCCTACCCATAGTGCTGTACTACTAACCCTGGAGTATTGTAGGAAATAAACAAAACGCTGATAAAGAGAAAAGTGCAGATCCAGAACGAAAAGAGGTTAAACCTCATAGGCTCAGGTATGGTCTAATAATATACTCTATACCAACATAAATGTTTAACTCAGAAGCACTAAATTACATTTTATAAATGTGACTATCACATTTTACGTAAAGCTACTTACCGTTAATGTTGTGTAAGAGAACTATAGATCTAAATGTATAGAATACAAAAGATTCAACTGAATTCTCTCTATATGAATGACAGAAATTAAGGATAGAAGAGAAGATGCATATAATGTAGAATATTATGGGGCTTATAAAGGGCTTACAATGTTTTAAAAGACACATGGCCTTCAAGGTAACAGTGACGAACAAATACTGTACATATGGCTCAGTCTTTTCTGTTTCTATCTACGTGGGGTGGCTCCGGCGGACCTGCTCTCACCTGGGGCCAAAGCCAGGCCACTGGTACTTTTCAGCTGACATTTACAGAACAATGGCTAACTGTGGACTTTAACACCTTCTCACAAAGCAACTGTTTTGATAATGCAGAGATTGTTGATTATGCTACTACTGTCAGCACTAGCTATGGAAACACCATTTCCCTAGTTTACATAAGGGTGTATACACTAGTGGAACACTGGTGTTACAATCGAAAAACAGTATACTGTACAAATACTGCACAAGTGGGCTTCATTCGGATATCCAATAAGGATCCTGTTGTCACCAACCTAGACTACCTCTAAATAACAGTTAGCTTGGAGGTAATTTCTCCCATTCGGTCTGTATCGATAAAACAGTTCATCTTCTGTAACAACCAAGTACTAGATGTTCTCTAGTTAGAGGATTTGATCCCAGGCTCAGTGTTCTCATGTACAGAAATATTCACTGATAAAGTTCCCAGGTCAGTTTTCCATGTCAGAGGAGGGGCATGGTTATCGGACAAAGGGGAGGGGTTAAAACACAGAACTAGATTGAGATTCTATGGTTAGAAGTTCTTCTTCTTTAATGTCTTGTAGATGGACGTTATCATCTTGTAGAGAGGCAGGGTTGTTGTGTAGAGGGGAGCTATTTTTTTTCAGAGGGGCTGTACTATGATTCATTGTTTTGTCAGGTATGTTGAGTTTGCTAGACTGCTGGTCCAGCTGCTCCTGGTTGCGTCTGAGAGAGTGGTTTCTCAGGTGGGCAGTGAGGCCCCTCTGGGTCAGCTGGTAGATACGACACTCATAACAGTAGTAGGGAGTCACGGACAAGTGTCTAACCTGATGTTTTAGGAAGCTGTCGATGGAGTTAAAGGTTTTTCCACACTCCTCACAGTGTGGGACCCTGCCCGGGTGTTCCGTGTCGTAGTGCTTTTTCGTCGTGTACTTTCGCAGGATATCCAGGGAGCAGAAGGAGCAGCGGAATGTCAACTTGTGGACACTGGTGTGACAACGAGAGTGCTTGTCCAGGCTGGTCTGGTTTCTGTAGTATATGTTACAGAGTGGGCAGAAGAATGTCTTCTTATGGCTGGGTTGGTATTGATTCTGCTGCACCTGGGCTGTCAGGTAAGCATCATAAGCCTTTTTCTGCTGCTCCCGGGTTTCCCGGGCTTTCTGGGCTTTCAGGTAAGCATCATAGGCCTTCGTCTTCTGCTCCTGGGCTCCCTGGGCTTTCTGGATAGTTTCCAAGGCCTTCTTCTTCTTCTTGTC